CAAATCCATGTCCCGATGTGTTAGCAATACCACGTAATGGGGCATTGAATCCAAAAATCTTTGATGATGAGTTGATTATGAAACATCTTGATGACCGATTCATCACAAATCTTGGTGTCTCTTATAATGATCACATGCAAGACTATATAGGTAACAAATGTTCTGATGATGAGCTCATGGTCAGACTAACATTGCATAGTTACAATGATAGGTTAGTGGAAAAAAAGACTGATCAGCATGTACAGAATGCTATCCTCTTCGATTTTGTTGAAAGCAATTTGAAAAGTGTGGAAGATTACACAAAAGCTCTCCAAATCGTACATGATCAAGAACCAATGCAAGCATATCTTTCTAATTATGCAATTCCCATTGTTGCAGACTGGCCTGGTCAGTTTTTCATTCGTAAAGCTATTGTACATTGGCTTAACAACAACAATGAGACTATTCCTTCATTCATTACAGCATTTTTACCTATTATGGGCCCTCTCCATGTATCTTTAAATGGTCATGAACTCATATTTAAGGAAAATTCATTTTTATTTAACGATATTTATAAAGGACTATTTGGCAATTGTAAGGATCTTGGTAAGAAGCCACGGCCATGGCAAATTGATTTAATTCTTCACATCATGCTCATGGCATGGCTTGATATAGATGATATTGTTTATTCTAAGTTTGGTCATACATGTAAAAACATTGAATTTTTATACTTAACTGATCTTTTGAGCAATTTAATCCCTTTAGTTCTTGACGTTTACGCAGTGCACCATCGAGAAGGTAACTGGCTGGCTTATGAGGAAGCTTGTATGCGTTGCTGGAGTGATCTTTTTCTTCGGTTTGATAGAAGAAATTATAAGCGTGCACCTTTAATGTTTTTTTCTGATATCTTTTATTGGATGGAGACAAATCATCCGATGATTGATATGTTTACTAATTATCTCACCTCTTTAAGTGATAGTCCTGTAGAAATCATTCACAGCATTATTCGATGACGTACGGCTAAGTTTTTTACTGCACAACATCTGCAAAAGGAGGCACGTTTTATTTTTCAACATCAAGAGAATAATGCTTTTCAACAACATTTCATAAATTCTGTGAAGTATCCATATACACCTAAACAATTGCATATGCTTTCCTGAAAGTGTGCTGTATTGCTTTTAGATGTGTTTACGAAGATATATCAAGCACTAAATCAGTATCCTTTGATTATTAAAACTTCATCTAATGGTATCAACCCATACAAATTACCTTCTTTAGTTTATGAAATAACCAATCATCACCTTCCAAGAGGCTTTGTTACTTCTAGGAAACCATCTATAGACATTTTTTGCGATTATGTATATTGTGATTACACCAACTATACTGATTTGAATAATTGTAGTGTACTCACATGCAGGCATGGTTATCACAATCATTGTCTACAAAGGTGCCAATCTAAATGTTTGATATGCTTGGACTATCTTCAAGTTGAAATCAAAAAAAAATGTCAACGCACTAAAAGAAAGTATGATGAAAAGATTAAACAAAAATGAATTTATTGAAAATAACAAAAATACAGTTGATGATGATTCAGGTAATGTTGAATCAGCAACTGACAATGCAGCAACAATGGAAATTTTATTAGAAAATGCAAAAAAACATTTTTTGAGTTGTAAATTTTGTTTTTATTAAATAAATTTGTTGTTTTTTCATACAAATCTTAAATTGGTCATGTTTACATTTCATTGACATTCATTATATTAAGGTTATTTTGGTTATATCGAGAGATATGGTCAAGAGAAGAGTTAGGAAGAGAGTTATTTTTCAACCAAGTCGAAAACTAACCCTTTAAATACATTTTCGAGTAGTACAATTTAATTTATTAGACTATTTTGAAGGCTTGTCGCATGGTTGCTTCCAACTTCTTAAATTCGTTAACAAAACAATTGTTGGTGAAGTGATTGTTGACAAAATGAATCAAACCCATATTTATTTCTACGTTATCAAATTCACAATTTTAATTAGTCAATCAACAAAATTGCATGGGTTAAATTTTTGTGTTCCCTCCTGTTAATTTTGTGTTCCCAGTACATTCTCTCCTGTTGCAACAAAACCAGACAAAGTGAACATTTGTATTACCAAGAATTTCAGGGGTCAATAATGTTTGTTTGACATCACAATGTAATGTGATCATGATATTCAGTGTTGAAAATTCAATGTCCGGAATTTCTGGGTGTAACATTACACACCAATCAAATTTTTAATTTTTTGAGATATTTTCTAAATTTGTACTATGGTTGGCTCGGTCTAAAGACCTCCTATTGCTGCGCCATGTGGCCAAATTTCAAAATAGCAATTTGTGATTCGTTCAAAAACGTAATAAAATTTTTCAAAAATAGGACTTCACGTGATTTTAGTTTTCTTACTGCCAAATTTAGATACGATAGTCAGGAGCTAGTCTAAATTTGGTAATATTTTTCCTAAATTTAGAAATGATCATAGTGGACAAATTCCTCGCGAGCATAGTAAACTACATGTTTTAAAAAAGAATAGAACTCTACAACAAATAATTTTTTTGATAAAATCTCTCTATTATATTAAAACTAAAGACATATTCTATCAACTAATAGAGCTATTTTTTTAAAAGGTAAGACAGAAAGTGACTTCTATACTTTTAAAATTTGCCCAAAATTTAGGAGGTCTTTAGACTGAGCCAACTATAGTTACACAACGAAATTTCAACACTGATTATATTATCTGTTTTAGGATTACCCCTAGACAAAAATAGTTAATATGAAACTCATTTACATCAGATCTACTATGGAACCCAAGAATTATAGCACAATTAGAACTATTTTGAAGAAAGAACAGGGTGAAAAAATTGCTCCTTACATTTTTAAATTAGCAGATACCAAATCTTTGCAAACATATTTAGACAAAGAAAGGATTACTTATGAAATTTATCAAGAGGAAAGAGTTTTCAAAAGAGTATTAGAGAATTCTAGTAAAGAATCAAGAAAAAAAAAGAAAACTGGCAGAATAAAAAACTAAAACAAATAATTACTTTTTTTTCAACTTTGTTAATTTTTAATTACCTTTTATTTTCAATCAAGGTCATTTTTTAGTTTCTTTAACTTCAATTTGAGCAGTTAGTTGAGTCTGCTGTCTCTTTAACTGTTCAACTTCACTTTCAAGTCTTTGAATTTTATCTAATAATTCTTGCTTTTGCTTATTATGTCAATCCTTTGAAACTTCTAAGGCTTCCAAATGAGAACTGATTTCTTCCTTAGCACTGGATAGTTGCTGTTTTAAGTCTTTATTCTGCTGTTCCAATCTGCCAACATAACTCTGTGCCATTATTTCTGTTATTGTTGGAGTTTTAACTGGTTCACCTTTCCTTAAATCACAGAAGCAGTCTATTCTGTTTCTCATAATTCGACCACAATCATTACAGTGTGGTAAAGTATCATCATCAAGAGCTTTTTTACACTTGACACAGATATAAGCAATGTCATTGT